GTGACAGCTATCAAGCCACAATCTAACACATTAATGCGACACAGTCATTCAAATTCTGTGTAAACAATGTATTTGTTGCAATGAACATTATCGAACACGATGTGCTGCAACAATGGCACCACACTGAATCTGACTTCGATTATCTGCAATCTCACTCAATATGTGGAGCAAAACACACTAGCTTCTGCTTTAAAGCGGGAGGGTCGTCACCTGCACACGCACGGAAATAGAGTCCCAAGCGACGATAACAACACATGGTAAAAGCGCAAAAGCTCATGGGTAGACACTTGTTTGTAAACAAGGACATGATATGGCCACATGACGCATGCGCAGGTGACAATTACCATGCTTTAAATAAGAATTTACGTACACCAGAGTAATAGGAATTACAGCTACAACAGTACAAGTTATTCATGTCTCAATTAAGCTTTCCTATAATGATTAATAAATAAAATTTTGTGTTTTATTTACTGTTTCCTGGTTACTACAAGATTATTGTCACAACAAACATACTTCAAATGATCACTATGGCAATCGGTAACAAAAACCAAATCAATGAATGTAAAAAATATCGTCCCACAGTGTTCTAATTAGTAACTTATTAATGAATTTTTAAATACTACCCCGATATATAACAAGTTTTACATTAATTTTTATATGAAATAATGCTCAGATTTAAAACACAACTGCGGAAACATTTTCTCCACCATATTAAAAAATCCTCATAATAACTCTCGGTAAATCATTTACTTAACTTGATTTATTATTGATGATTACATTAAGCCGGGTATGAACACTGAATGTTATATCAAAACATTCTGAGTTCTGAATATTACGCAGTGTTAAGTTAAAAATCAAATATATAAAGAATTAATTTATTGTCAATCATATTTTTATTTTATGATAATTTCATAACAAATATTAATAACAATGATATTTGCCATACCAGTGTTGTCCAACCTGAACTTTGACCCTGTGACCGCCATTGTAAAAATGTTTCCACATTTCTAAATAGTCTTAATTTATTATAAAGGGGTTGAAAACGTCCACGTAATGTTGATATTTATCGCCTTTTTTCGTGTTAATACTCGACGAATTGTATTTACCTATTTGAGTATTAGTAATGGAATGCCCGTATTAGAATCTCGATAGCCTCCTTGAAGCTTAAGGGTGTGTCCAACACAATTCATAAAAAAATAACAAACAGTAATATTGAATAGGTCTCCTTTTGTATGATACTGTAGTTGACATTGGCAATGATAGACTTCAATGGTGAAATGAAACATACCTGTAAATACATGATGAAGAAAGTATTTTGACTTTTCGATTTTGAGTTTAATTCCTTTCAAACTTGGTTTTCTGGCAAAGTGGAAGGTGCAAAGGATTGACAGACTGACTGTTTTCGCAGTTACAATGTACTTTCAATTCTTTCTGGATTGTCAAATATAAAATACAATATTAGTCATTAATATACATTGTATATGTTTTGTTTATTATGGTGTGTCCGCACAATATACAAATTCTGAAATTTTGGGACAAATGAATAAAATAAATTGAAATAAAAAAAAATAATATAAAAAATACGTTTTTGGAAATACAATATTGTTTAATTGTTTTAATTCGAAACTCGACACGTTGTCGTGTACACTGCGCAAAACTAAAGTTTCGAGAGTCGATTCTCACGGCTGTTTTATTTTGCCAACAGGCCATCAACATGATATATTGAAGCTTACAAAGCGTGAGAGTAATATTTCAAATCAAGGCAACACAAGAAGCGACCAAAGTATCAATAATCAAGTAAACACAGGTATTTAACAAAACAAACTGCCAAAACAGACTGAAAGAATCGCGACGGGGCTGGTCCTCGACTCGGAAGACGTCAACAGGTTGTTATCCTCTAAGAGACAACGATTTTGTAAATATAAGCTAAGATCGGTTTACCGTGGAGGTTGTAAGCTGTACTACTGACGTTCGCATGTGAACCAGTAAAAAAATAAACAACTGTTTCACAGTAAGTCACAAACCTAATAAACTTGGCGGCCATGAATCAACTACACTGGTGTTTAGACACCGGTGCAAGTTGGGCGGTCGACTGTGTCGAGTGGCGACAACGCATCACAAACATACAATATCGGCAATTATGTGTAAATCCGTGCCGTACTAAGGTTTTGGTAATCTAATTCACACATACTGTTAATCATTTTTTAGCTAGGATCGCTAAGCTTTGTCGAGTCTTAGAATCAACAAACGTCATTCAAAACTTACCAGCGATCGATTCTGCTACAGTGTGTACACCGTTGCCAACCACTCAACACGTCGGTAAGCTGGAATTTGGCTCTCCTATCGGTAATATCATGACAGGGCCTTGTTCTCGATTTTCACACACTTTATTCCAGCGGCTCGGTGAAACTATTAGTTTGAAGACAGCGACAAGATTGGGGCTGAAATTGTGACACCACGCTTAAAACACGTACGTAAACCAAGCTCCAGAGGCGATTCAGTTCTCCTGCTGGGCCGTTCAATACGAAACATAATAAGCTGTTACATTTACACAAAACACCCCTCCATATTACTTCCATAGCATACTGTCCCCGCGGCATTACTGAACATACACGACCACGGAAAAATGTAGTGTACACATTTATGATTTTAGAGAATAGCAAAGAAAAGTAAAGAACCGTCTACATAATATAAACAATCTATATTTATTTTTAAACTACTTCACGGATAACAGGGTGGTGACGGAAAAGGGAACAGCTACCCGGCACACCTCCGTTCAAAAGTTCAATAGATCACTTATGGCGACTTGTTTAACTGTGTGCGATATAGGTGTTAAGAAATATGCGCCACCAGACTGGGCTTCGGGTATTTAAACCAATAGACCTTGGAGTTCCCTTTATAATAAAAAAGAATCACACGCACGATGTCAATATGTAGATTAATAATAGAATAGTTTCATTACGTCAATAATTACGGACATACTAGTAAATCAATTAGATTTCTCATACATACTATTACTTATTTTGATATCTTAAATCTTTTTAAAATCAGATGATTTGGATATGCAGTTGACGAAGACACAACGAAAGACTGTGGTGCGCCCAATTTTAAATTTATTGCAATTGCGTGTATTACGTTAGATGAAAAACGTTCATAATTCATATTTTGTTCCTACCTACAATTATTGAATTTCTTGAAATAACAGTTATTGCAAATCATTATCGTCTACCTTCAACGATCAGAGTCTCCTGAATTCTACACTTGTTGGCCAATTGTGAAATTGACATGCATATAAGTACCAAGACGTCATCCATGGACACACAAAGCTGTAGAATGTACCCGTTTAACAACAAAAGTTTAAACACTTCACATGATTGGTGGCGCTCTTCAAAAACATAAAACGTCTCAGTTTGTCCATAGACCCTAACAATTTTTAGGGTCTATGGTTTATCCTCATTGGTTTACACAACAGTCAGTCACTATCTGTGTTCACGTAAAACCCATATCTTATGCATGCGTTACATGCAATCACAGCCTTTAACAAACAGAGCAAATAAAAGAGAATCAATGAAAAAAAAGCCAGAAAACTTTAAATCATAGTTTCCTGGGGACATTTAAAACTTGGCTTATTAATGTACATACATTTCAATATCAGGGATCTTTGGATAACAGCGTTGTGGTGGTTCTCAATGAGAAAACATTTTAATTAGGCAATCAACAGAACTGCTTTGGAATGTGGGGATTGATAAAAATTGTTGGCACCCAATTTTAACATGTTAATTATTACCATGTAAGGCTGGGATTGAACTCAGCAAGTGATGGAAACCACATGCTACCATTGAGCAATCAGGAACTCCATGCCAGTCATTGCCTTCCAGGCTATATCTAGAGTCTATGATAAATGAATTGTATGAAACAAATAGACCAGTGAATGGTTTTGAAGTGTTGAGTGTCTTACCTACAGGTCAGTCTGCACATGCATACTACCTCATACACTGAAATGATGAAGACAGCCAAACTACATAATTGCATCACAATTACTTAGAAAGGCTAGATTCCAGGCAACAGTCAAGGCGATTACAATTCAACTCCGGCTCTCATCCACCTGCCATACTTCCAAACATCTGCCTCGTACTGCATTCACCCATAGCCTAAATGTTAAAAGGCTTTTGCAGCATATTCCAGGTGAATCTAGAATGTACCCCCACCAAGACTCGTGGAATACCTGGAATTAGCTTTACGGAGATTACTAATCTGGCAATAATGAATAATTACAAGTTCAACACAACCATCCAGCACAATTATGCAAATTTTATGAAAATACTGGTATTGGCAACAAAATAAAATATTAAATATTTGTAGAATCCTTTAGGGACATTTAGAATGACAATCTGCATCAGTACTGCAATGATAGGAATGACACCCCTCACACTCCTAATGTAAATTCAATATGCTCCTAATAACTTTTAAGTGACATCAGGTACATTACATATACAATTGAAATGGAGGGTACCAGAGGGGCAGGGTTAGAATTAGAGTTATGGGCAAGAAGGCTCTAAAGCTAGGGAAAAAAAAAAAAAAATATGTTTCTCGTTCTCACGTGCACATCATTTTGAACTATGCGCCTTCAACATTTTTTTTCTTTTCTAAAGCATTCCAAAATGCACTTGTACTCTCACTTATCTCAAATTTCCCCCATTTTAGCTCAGTATTCAAAAAAAAAATTACCATGAAACTAGAAACAGAATTTCTTTTCCCTGTCCTAAACAACTTTTGCCCAATAAGCCAGGCCAGTAAACTCAATGCAAAAGGTTTTGCTAACCTTTTGCTTGACCCCAATAAGCAAGCATCACCGACTCAAATTGATACATTTTGAAGGGCATCTCGAGGCCAGCATTTCAGGGGCTACAGATTATTTGTGGGGCAGTACACTTAAACGATTACCTCACCCACATAGCAAATGAATCGCACATCCAGCCAATCACATCAAAGAGACAATTTCTCGCTTATATGTTTAATAATCTTTTACACTGTCTTCAACAAAGATAAAAATGACACAAAATTAAAGAAAGTGTTTATCTAATCGTCAATAGACATTTTAATCTTCAAAACAGTGCACTGGAATTACAGTCTGGTTTGCTGGACAAGTTCACAGCACTGAATACATAGTCTTTCACATCAGGCAGACATGTTGAATACAATCCCAAAGCATACCACTTACTAGTCATGATGACAAGTGAAAAGGAATTGAGCTTGTAATTTCAATTAGTTATTACACGATTAACATGCGCTGAATATTGGCAAGACCACCATGGGCATTTCTTCAAGAAACAATCTACAGGTTTATTCGTCTTTGCAGTTGCATGATCTTCCAAGTGTCAGGTTTATGTAGATTCCAGGTTGGTGTTGTAGCAGCACGTTCCAAGATGATTGTCAACTGATGAGAAGATAAAGTGATGACGACAGTCTACTTCGACCTTGCCCTCATCTTCCTCCTTTTGCGCTTCAGTCTAAAAATAGGAAAAAGAAAGCCTTATTCAATTCGTTTTTCAAAAAGCTTGCATCCCCAAGCAACTAACACAAGTGCTTTCATGGCGTCATGATGATGGATGTAAGCAGTGGCATTCTGGTTGTACAGACATTCCGCAATAGACTACTACAAAAATGATAACCCTAAAAGAATGAACATAGCAGGAAGGACATCCCCAACAGCCACCTACCACACTAAACATCAGGATTGAAAAAGGAAAAAGTAGAATGTATGTGGTCAGAACAAATCTGGAATACCACTTCATCTTGAGCCGATTTCCACATCACTGTAGTATATATTACATAGAACAAAATGAAACTATCTTGTTCGACCATAATAAATTTCAAACATTTAATATTACTCACCTTCGCATACGTTTCTTCCTCCACTGGAAATAGAAACAGAAAAAAATACAAATTACGGTTACAACTGATATTTAAATAGAACATAGACCATGCACATGATAGATATATGCGAGGCCTAACACATTGGAAATCTGGCCCGGCGTACAAAGTATACATATAATAGAGAGGCTTTCCTCGTCGTGGAGAAGAATAACTTGAGCATTTCTATTGCCATGTGCCTACAATCAAATGACCAGAATAACATCGCACACCCAATCAGGATAAAAAAATCTACATTAGTTAAGGAAAACCTGTATATGCACGACCTTTTTTCTAAACCATGGCTAGGTATAAAACCAAAGAGGCTGACCAGATTTTAGTATCCAAATCACACTTCATGATAATTGGTATATAAATTCACTGAACATTTTAGGTAAAACCATTGCAGTGTTTAATTTCAGAGAACTGTGAAATGCATTTACAGTGCCAAAACTGATAAAAAGACTACTAGGAATAAGAAAGTACACATGTCTTATTACAGAGGTTCTCTCTGCAGATAACTTGTTAACAGATTGCCAGTATGCAAATTTCATGACAAGTCTAATAACTGTGTCCAAAATGTCCAAATGCCTAAAAAATATACCCAAATGAAGTCCACGTTCTTATTTTGTTTACAGCTACGGTGAACGAGTTGTTAACAAGTCGCCATGGTGTGTTTACGATTTCTGCGCGACAGAAAGGTCACATGCGTAGGGGATATTATCCACGGAACAATATCCCCCCCCCCATTATAAAATTCTACAGTTTCAAACGACAATTGTAAAATGCGTTTACTTATTACCACACGAAATGGTACGTAGCAAAAAAGCATGTACACCAATGAGTGTTTCGTCCACCTCGTGTACGTGTTTGGCAAACCCTACTCCGATATCGAACATGCACCACCCTAATTTGAAAAGTATTTTTCTCAAAAAAATATAAACTCACCTTCGCCCTCATGTTTATCGTAAGGATCTAAAAGAAATAAAGAAGACGTTTATGTTAGTGGAATAAGTGGATGGTGTCCCAAAGCACTGGATTCGATTCAATTCAGGAGCAGATTGAAAACACAACTTACATAGTCGAAATGGACGACACGAAAGGATCGAACTCCCGGATGTAAGCTCACCTATGACCTCGGCCTCGAACACGAGTGGATGAATGAAATAGTACACACTTTGTGATCATCAGTGTGAATTATTTTCTCTTGAAACTTTTTTCGTTGTTATCGATTGACATGTTTTTTTAAATGAAAAAGACGAAAAACGTATGATAATAACGGTGAATTGAAACATATTGCGATTTCACGCACGAAAGTTGCCGAACATAACCGATTCCAATAAATACACAATCAAAATGGCGGAGAGCCTAGCAGACCAATCGAAAGATCAACATCCTGTTCAACAACATGTCCAGCGTCCACATGAAGAAAGAACACCCCCACATGTTACTGTGGAAACGGGCAAAGACGTCAAGAAAATGGACAAACAGACGCTTATGGCGGTTTTACAGTTTCTTAAGAAGAACAACCTGAAAGTAAGTAGCAGTAGTGGGATTTCAAACTTGGCGCAGTGGCGATTGATTGGAAACGCTGATCACTTGTGGTTTGTGGGTGTGCTTGTAAGTGTGAAGTTAGTACAGGGTACATAGTACAGAACTCGTTCATTGGAGCCCACATGGAGATAATATAATTTAAAATCAACATTGTATTGTCTCCCTTTACAGCTAAACCATGATGGGCTCTATGCTCAGATCCAAGTCAGGGACGGCCCATTGATTTAACGCGGGGGTATCGTTTTCTATGGATTCGTTACAGTGTATAATCTAGTGGGAGTACCATGTTTGAATAATATTTTGTATCCCCTCAAAATCTACATATCGTTGTACTACTTTTATAAATTATAACATTTACGTGAGTTTCAGTATAGAGTAATATGACACTGTTCTACTTGCTACATGTACATACCAGTCTGGAAATATTTCATCAATTATGCTTGTAGGGTTAGTGGGAGGATGTGATAAAATATAGCACATTGCTATTTCAGATATTGCAATACCCAAACAAAGGATGTGACAGTTATGTTCTCGGTACATGCAGTATTTACTGATAGTTGCGACAGAGATAAAAGTGCAACTTCTACTTTTTTTGTGATTTCAGAATAAATTTACTACATGGGTAATGAGCAAAATCCAGACCAGTATGGAGTGGGCCGAAAACCTCCGAAATACTGTAAAATACTTTATTTTCGCTGAAGGAATAAGTGAAAATAAAATTCAGTGAATGTACCTGTTTTTCTATATTTTACATTTAACTTGTCAAAAATTAGTTCTAATAAATTCCATACAAAACACCCAAAAAGTCTTTTCAGTGAAAATTAATTCCAGCTAAAATAAAGTATTTTACAGTAATAGGAAGATAACCAGGCTACATCACACATACATTTTGTACACTGTAGTGTTGTGCTGCAAGTAATGTGCACATGTTCATCAGTACTCAAGTGTTTTTTTGTGCCAATCGTTGATAGGTCTCGATTTTGAAATTCTGTAATCTGGGGGAATTGAATACTTAGTGTGGAGTGAGAAAGTCATGTGGATTTAATAGCGAGTCCAAAGCCGATAGACATTCATTTACTTTTAAATGCAATTTACCGATAGGGGGTTGGTTAGAATCTGTATGAACTTGTAATTAACTGGGCTTAACACCATGATAATGCATTAAATTGCCATTTATACCAACCTGGTAGAAAAAGGATCACACAGCCATGTCACTTTGTCATAATTCCCATATTTTGATTCATAGACCCTCCATTTTAAATTTTGCGCATTCAAGAAATAATCTGTCAAAAATTTAAAATTTGAAAAAAAAAAAAAAATATCTTGCACTTAGGTACTACTAATTAATTAAACACACACCAGGATATTTATTTCACTGAAAATAACAATTTTGTAATTTATAGTAACATTTTTAATAACATATTATCAACATGATATTAGATATATGTTCAACATTTGAACATTACCCCTTCCAAAACAACAAACATGTTTCTAACAAGCAGACCAGAAACAATAATTTTTTATTATGCCTTACATGTCTAGCATATGTGGTATATTTTACAGGTACACAAAATTGCAAAAGAAGAACCTGTTTTTTTGGCTTGATCCTTATTACAAAAATATTTTGTTGGTGGATTTCATTACCTTCCCCAAAACATGGATATACACATTTTTATATGGGCACAAACGTCTTTTGTGGTTTCTCTTCTTCTAAACTGTTTTTATTGTGACCACAATAACTTAACAAAATGTTAATATCTATCCAAAGGACACTGTAGACATACTGAAAAAAGAAACCAATTTTAGTGTATCAGATGAAGAGCCAACAACTGCCACAGACCAAGATGTGTCATCAGTGTTGTCAGCATATACAAGGTAATGCTTCATATTATCTTGAGAAGTTACCTGTTTTTTATTTCCTCTCATCTTTCAGTGACTTCCCCAACTTTCCCAGTGACTTCCCCAACTTTCCCAGTGACTTCCCCAACTTTCCCAGTGACTTCCCCAACTTTCCCAGTGACTTCCCCAACTTTCTCAGTGACTTCCCCAACTTTCCCAGTGACTTCCCCAACTTTCCCAGTGACTTCCCCAACTTTCCCAGTGACTTCCCCAACTTTCTCAGTAACTTCCCCAACTTTCCCAGTGACTTCCCCAACTTTCCCAGTGACTTCCCCAACTTTCCCAGTGACTTCCCCAACTTTCCCAGTGACTTCCCCAACTTTCTCAGTGACTTCCCCAACTTTCCCAGTGACTTCCCCAACTTTCCCAGTGACTTCCCCAACTTTCCCAGTGACTTCCCCAACTTTCTCAGTGACTTCCCCAACTTTCCCAGTGACTTCCCCAACTTTCCCAGTGACTTCCCCAACTTTCCCAGTGACTTCCCCAAATTGCTCAGTGACTTCAACTTCTTCAACCAGTGACTCTCAAACTTGCTCAGTCACTTCCCCCATTTTCTCAGTGACTCTCAAACTTGCTCAGTCACTTCC